AAAAAAAAAAGAAAAAGAAAAAGATTGGATGAATATTGACCCGTAACTGATACGAGACGACGTCGGTTAATGGGGAGAGAAATCCGACCCGTGCCGGCAGTCGCGCGAGTTGCATGTGAACGGCTGGAAATCGAAATTAATACTTGTGCAAATGGCCTTAAGTTTCGCACAAATTTCGAAAATGCCACTGATTTTGTGATTTTTTTTATAATGTCGATTTGGAAATGATTTTTTTTTTTGAACTCGACGCTCCAACACAAGGAAAGGGAAATTCTGAAATGACGCTCAATCATATCATTTCAACATAAATTTTTGAATTTTTTTTTACCATATAAAGACTTAAAGAGAGGTATTATTTGAATAATTTAGTTCTCAGTTTGACCTCGACGCTCCAGACACGACCTTAATCAAACTTTCAAAATAATGATATTATGAGAGGTTAGGAATAATAATTTCCTACTTATAGCACCTGGTCCTTGCGGCCTAGTGGCAATAGTCAATAGGTGCATTTTTTTTTTATCGGATTGGATTCGAAACTCGCCCCTTGCAAATATGTTCAAAAAAAAAAAAATTCCTACTTATAGTTGCTCTAAATAAATTTTAAATGATAGAAACATTTTTTTATAAAATAACAACTGTTTATATTTTTTTTATATATTAAAAAAAAATTAACTACATTATATCATAAAAGTTTAAATTTTTAAATTTATAATTTTTTTTAATATAAGGAAATTTTAGAATGAGAAATTTAATTTTTAAGTTCGTTAATAAAAATTAAACTTTTAATTAATTATATTTAAACATTTAAAATTTGAAAACAAATTATTAAATTCAAAATCTTATTCAAAATTTTTAAAATTATATTAAATTAAAAATTTTAAATTAATAAACATCATCTCAACTAATTTCTTAATAAGATATGTGTCCATCACTCCTTATCAATCAATTAGATAAACATCATATTTAAAATATGAGTATAAATAATTATAAAAAGTTACACTTACCTGCTATGAGCAGAAATTTATTTTATATTTGTAATTATAGGTAAAGTGATTTTTTTTTCTTATTTTTATATTTACTATTATAATTTTTAAATCAATTTTCATGTATAGAATGAACTTAAGTGCATTTAAAAAATTGAGTTTTTTAAATACAATCTTTAAATTTTGAATACTAAAATTTATACTTACTTTTTAATAAATTTAATCTTAAATTATTGTAAGTAAAGTGATTTACAAATACCAAAGTGATTTGCTGAAACAAATATTTGAATACCATGTTATAAAAAATAAATAAAGATTGTTCAAATAAAAATTAATCTATTAAATTGGCTGCACATAATTACCGTGTTTGTATGAATAAAAAAGTCGTAGACGCATGCAAAATCTTTGTTGGTTGCAACAACATCACATGGAAGGATGCGTCGGTGCGGCCATGCTATGGTTGGGGACTGCCATTATTGAGGGAACACGAGGACATGCATGTGTCTGTCTCATCGGATTCCAGAGGGCATATACCTTTGGTCCCTCTTTGCTTTACCATTTTAAATACAGCTTAAGCGCACTAATTATTATAGGGTTTTTTTAACTTATATATTTAGAATACATGTTAAAAATGTATTTTTAATATTAATTATTATTAAAATATTTAATAATTAATTAATTAATTAATTATTTAATTAAAATAATATATAATATTAATAATAAAATTAATATTAATTTTTTATTTTTTTAAAATTAATTAATATAAAAAAATATTAATTATACATTTAATATCTACTCTTAGGACATAGATTAAATAAGTTTATTATGATATTAACGACAATTGATTAAATATTGCAGAAACATTCATGCCGTCGTTGTTGTCCAACTGCCAACTTGCCAAAGGAGGAAGAAGATAAGGGTTTTGGACAAATGGACCTTTAAAATCCGAACTTTATTTAGCTCTTCTACACTCGCCCCAATTGATTACATTGGGCCTCTTCTCAAGGAAGTCGCTTTCAAGCCCAAACGATAAAACTTTCAGAGTTGATGGTTGAGTAAAGTA